GGGGGGGAACAGCCGACAGATAACAAGAAAGAGATGCAGCGAAACAGAGAGAAACACAAAACAAGGAAATCTGACGGAGAGATAAAGAGAGAGAGAGACCTAGGAGGGCAGCTTCACTTCAGAAGAGAGACCTAAACGCTGTGTGTGTGTGTGTGTGTGTGTGTGTGTGTGTGTGTGTGTGTGTGTGTGAGCCAGAGGTCGCCTCCTGACAGTGTGTGTCCTTCTGACCGGAAGAACAGAGACTTTGATCCATTTCCATTTGCAAAAAATACAATAAAATAATGCGCTCGCCTCTATTTTCTACTGAAGGTCACAGAGGACAAAATATCATTTTAACATTTTGCTATTAAATCACAAATGACTGCTGACTTGTTTTACTTATTTCCAATCACAATGACATTTTGTACAAAAGTAAGTATTGCAATAATATTGATCATGTGATCCAATGGACCACAGGAGGTAGAATAAGAAAATATATTGTGTATAATAAAGCAAACAACTAATAAGATGTTAGTTTATTATATATTATTTTTCATGATTGATACATGTTGTGGTTTTCTTTTCATGTTGTAACCGATTCATCATTGATTTTTCTTTTTAGTACTTCACTTTTTCTCAGAATTCTGACTTTTTCTGTAACTTTCCATTTTTATAGGCAGAAAAATAAACTCTCATAAATAAAATCAACTCCTGAACACACCAAAAAGCCCGCGTTTCATCCAGTTTGTACACAACGATGGAGAAACTTAACAAGCAGCGTGGTCCACTGAAGAGACCAGCTAACCGACTGGGAATCTGGTCTTCCGAAGAGGTACAGAGGAAGCTGGAGCACAATCGGCCATTGTTGTTGTTGTCGTGTGAGCTGTGAGGGTTTCCGCGCGGTTTGGCTTTATGAAGCAGGCACCCAAACGGTTACGTCATGACGCCAACGTGACGCAGCAACCATCGTACTCTGGGCGGTGTGAAACGAGCCGGAGCTAAACCGAAGAACCGGTTCTGAACCTGAAAAGCTCTAGCACGGAGCTTGAACCGGAGTTGGTGTGAATGAGGTATATTTCACTTCCTGTTTCAAAAGTGCTGATTTGGGGTATAAAGCTTTAAAAAATAAAAGAATTGATACAAATAAAAAAGGAGGGGTCTGAGCTCATGGGGGACCCGGCAGCTACTGTCTAAACTAAATACTGCCGTGATGAAACGCCATATCATGGATTATCAAGGATTGTTTCTGAAACAGTATGGAGCTCAAAGGCTTTCTCTCTTGCCGGTTATACCACAAGGTGAGTTCCTTTTTATTTCCTGCTTCTTCACACACACTGCTCCTCCAGTACAGGTTAGCTCTGAGTGTTAGCGATGCTAATGTAAACACCGACCATATTACGTCCAAAACAGTCGGGGCATTGTTTCTGATAGCAACGTCTCTGATAGGGCCGGGGTCCACATTTCAGATATTACGTCATATCGGACGCACATCTGGATCAGCTCCGTTGTTCCCCCGTTTTTAGAGATTTGGGTACGGAGGAAAAGAGAGAGGGTTTTGTTTCCCTGACGCTGCGTGAGTCTCCTGACACACCAGGGACACATGGTGATGAAGAGAAGACATCAGAAAGTGACTTTTGCATGACAGGTCCCCTTTAAGTAACTTTTTAATAAGACATCAGACTATGCCACAGTTTCTGTCAACAATGATTCATGTTGTTCGAAGTGTCAAAGATTACGTCACCGAAACACACAACTTTGGTGACAAAATAATCATTATTGTACGTTCATACATCTTGTATATGTAGGAGTGTGTGTGTGTGTGTGTGTGTGTGTGTGTGTGTGTGTGTGTGTGCGTGTGTGATCATGCAACCCCCGCTGCTTTTCCATACAGACGTACAGTAATAAGCCGCGGCGCAGAAATCGAACCCATTTACGAGTTCAAATGCCAAAAAACAGACGAATGATCGCTAAGATGGAGCAGACGTCTCTTAAAATGGAGCCCCCCCCCCCTCTCCATTTAGCCTCACCACTCCCTCTCTCCCTCTCTCCCTCTCTCCCTCTCTCCCTCTCTCTCTCTCTCTCTCTCTCTCTCTCTCTCCATACAAATGACTGCTATCAATATTTCCAATCTTCATTTCTCCAGAAGCTCAGGGCCCCTTTCTGCCAGAAATCAATGGCTTCCCCACTGAGATCTGCGACAAGGATCAAAAGTGAGAGCGGCTCGGCTCACTTTCTCCGGGATAAAGTCTAGTTTCTCTACAGTTTCATCATTTAGGCAGCCACGCGAGTGTGTGTGTGTGTGTGTGTGTGTGTTTTGGTCCTAAATCAAAAAACAGACCAACACGACTCGTATCGCACTTTTTTTCTCAGCTAATTGCCGTTGTGTTTGACATCATTGCACTAACATGGATGATTTTATGGATGGTGTGTGTGTGTGTGTGTGTGTGTGTGTGTGGTGTGTGTTTTTGGTTGTGTGTGGGTGTGTGTGTGTGTGTGTGTGTGTGTGTGTGTGTGTGTGTGTGTGTGTGTGTGTGTGTGTGTGTGTGTGTGTGTGTGTGTGTGTGTGGTTGTGTGTGTTGTGGTAACTTAAGTTGTCTAAACATCTTAAAACATGAAAGAGAGCTAAACCCTTAATTTATGAATGACAAAATGATATTATATCGACTTACATTTTTGTTTTGAACAGATATAATCTTATATTCAACCACAAGAATGACATATTTTGACATTGATTATCTCTAATAGATGTAAATATAATGTTTTAACCAAGGATGTGAGCTAATTAGATTTAATCAACACGTGCTTGCCTCTTTATTTAATAGGATAGCTCAATTGTTGTCTGTTGTATCTGATTCTGATATATTTCATTTCAGTGATGTGAAATGAATGATGCTTAAGTAGGTTTTATTAATCAATCAAATCACATCCACCAGGTCTATGTGCGTCTACCTGAATGTTTGCAACTTTGTGATTGTCTATATGAAACTTTCTATTGTCATGCATTCATTTATTTATGCGTCTGTCTGCATGTGTCACTCAATTTTCTGTGTGTGTGTTTGTGAGTGTGTGTGTGTGTGTGTGTGGGAACTTATACATACATAAGTTAATGCATTTCTGTCTGCATTGCTTTATGTGTTTGTACAATTAAACGGCTGTGTGTGTGTGTGTGTGTGTGTGTGTGTGTGTGTGTGTGTGTGTGTGTGTGTGTGTGTGTGTGTTTTCTGGTTGTCAGTCACACGGCAGGGCTAGGCTAATCAGCGCAGCTAGCTGTTCGCTGTGTGATCGGCTGATTAATATCCTGTTAGCGTCCCGTGGCTTTTAAGGCTAACTGCTGTTTCCTCTATAGATCCATCGCTTCATAACAGCGCTGCCTTCATCTGGCCTCATTAACACGATGTATTACTATACTGAGCAACTACACACACACACACACACACACACACACACACACACAACACACACACACACACACACACACACACACACACACACACACACACACACACACACACACACACACACACACACACACAACATGTTTTTTTTAAAAGCTAAATGCTGATTGGATAAAGCTTTGCCACAGATTTGATAGCAAAAGTTAGTGAGAAGAAGTTACGTGACACTGTGAATAAACACCTGAGCCTCGCAGCGGTGTAACCGTGCCGCGCCACACTAATTGCGCCGCATAGGTGCGCCGCATTTTCGGCTCAGTTGAGGCACCCTCCGCAAGGTGAGGCCCCGTCCGCAAGGTGAGGCCCCGTCCGCAAGATGAGGCCCCGTCCGCAAGGTGAGGCCCCACGCAGTTTGCTTGATCGGCCTGTAGGGAGGGACGGCCCTGACTTAATGTCAGATCTAATACATGTGAACATATTATGTTTTATGATATGACCAAACCTACGCAGCTTCAGATGAATGCTAAGGCTGAGGATTTACAACTTGAAGTAGTTAAAGATGGGAAGAAGGACACAGAAAATGATCCAAAACAGGAGAAAAATTTGTGTTTGAAGTCTTGTTTGTGTCCTAAACGGAAACTCTGGGAAGGACACTAGTTGCTAAGTTTCCACTGAACAGAGGTGGGAAGTAGTGGAGTACAAATACTTTGTTACTATACTTAAGTAAATGTTTCTGGTATCTTTACTCCACTACTTTTTACTTTGACTTCTTACATGTTGAACACAAATACCTGTACTTTCTACTTCTTACATTTTGAACACAAATACCTGTACTTTCTACTTCTTACATGTTGAACTCAAATACCTGTACTTTCTACTTCTTACATGTTGAACACAAATACCTGTACTTTCTACTTCTTACATGTTGAACACAAATACCTGTACTTTCTACTTCTCACATTTTGAACCCAAATACCTGTACTTTCTACTTCTTACATGTTGAACACAAATACCTGTACTTTCTACTTCTCACATTTCCCAAACAGGCTGGTTCCTTTAGTTTGAATGTGTGTTTGGTGGCGTGATCATTATTATTTAGAGTCATTGCGTGCCTATTGATTTGAACACGATCCGTGTATCCATCATTTCCTGGTCTTCTCTAAAGAAGAGGGACCAATGAAAACGTTGTCATGTTGCCGTTGTTCAGCATGGAAACATTCATTAGCTAACAATGACATTATTGTTCTATTAATATAAAGGGAGGTCAGGTACTCTTTAAAACAGCTGCTAGTTATGGGTACTTTTTACTGAAGTACATTTCAAAGCCCTCTTTACTTTGACTTGAGTAAAGAAGTTTAGTCAGTACTTCTACTTTTACTATTTTTAAACACGAGTATCTGTACTTCTACTTGAGTAAAGGAAGTGTGTACTTTTGCCATCTCTACCACTAAACCTATTATACAAAACTTACCTAAAATATAAAAGCAGTGGCACGCTCAGGAGAAAAACCACGTGTTTGAAGTCTTGTTCGTGTCCTAAATGAAGGACACTAGTAGCTGAGTTTCCACTGAACCTATTATACATTTGTACCTCAAACATAAAAGCAACAAACCATAACATCGGTCGTACCTTGAAGCTGTGCAGCTGCTCCTTTGCGTCCGTCTCCCTCCCCAGGCAGGAGTTGAAGATGAGCAGCTCGGTGTCTCTCAGCCACGCCTTCAGGTCCTTGATCCGAGCCTCCAGCTGCTCCAGGAGAGAGTTGGTGAGCGGAGAGAGCGCCGAGCGAGGGTTCTCCTCCGCCGCACCGTGACCTCTGACCTCCAGAGAGTTCATGTTGGCCAACAGGGAGGAAGAGGAGGAAGAGGAAGAGGAAGAGGGTCCTGAATGCTCCGAGAGGATTTT